TAATGGACAGAATTGAAAGGCTCTCTTGAAAACAGTGAGATTAACAAGGTGAGGCATAAAATCATAGTAACTATTTTCACTTTACAACATATACCAATAGGATGGTAAGCAGGTGAAGTAATGACATATATAAAATAAGTTAAAAACATGCAAATGCATATACAATAATCAGCATGATAGTTTAGGCCCTCCTATCCATTGTATTCCTCCTTATGACTGCTTGACATGGATCCAAACCATCCATGTGAAGTAACTCAGCCAAAGATCACCCTACTCATGTCGGTTCAATAGGTCCCCTCCTTACCCTATGGTCCGACTAGGGTCAAAGAGATGTTTACCTAAGAGTTCTATCCTGATTCCAGGCCGGAAAAAGGGTAGAACCACACAAGCTTGACAAGAAGCCAAACACTTGATCATGGTGTTAGCATGCCTTGTGGGTTTTATGAACAATTATCCTCCATGTACAATCCCAACTTCCACATATGAATCCCATGCATAGATACAACATCACGGATTTAGAATACAATCAACAATATAACAAAAGGAATACTCCAAAACATTTACCTGTATAACAACACAAGGTACAACCACCGATACAAACATACAATAATAGCAATAACACTACTTCACCAAAAATTAATATACAACAAAATATATGCTTTTCCTTCATAATGCCTTAGCAATAAGACAATATAGTTTGAAAGGATTCAGAGAACCTTATAATCCGCAGTGAGCATATAAATCAATGTGGGAGTTAGGGAGATATATTTGATTGAATCTGTATATTATTGTATTTACAAAGAGCGATTTACAGAGCTTTATACAGAGGCTACTGACACATAAAAGAAAAAATATTAAAGGCCTTTAATCCTAATTACAACAGTAAAAAATCAAGAGTAAAAGAATCAAATAATGAGAAATTAATTGTCCTGAGTTTTGGAGTTGATTTCAAGATTTCACACTCCCCTTCAAGTTGGATCATAGATATTGATCATGTCCAACTTGCTCATGAAATGTTCATATTTTTCTTTGTGTAAGCCCTTTGTGAAGATATCCGCTGTTTGTCTCCACGTAGGCGCATGTGTAAGGGTTACTAATCCTCCATCAGTCTTCTCTCTAATGAAGTGTCCATCTACTTCAACATGTTTGGTTCTATCATGTTGTACTGGATTGAGGGACAAATTTATGGCTGCCATACTATCAGTATATAACTTTATAGGAAACCCCATCTTGATCTGTAGTTCCTTTAAAGCCCTTTTTATCCAAATTATTTCGCATATTCCATGTGCTATGGCTTGGTACTCTGATTCTGCACTGCTTCGTGAGACTACATTCTGTTTCTTACTTATCCAAGTGACTAGATTTCCCCAAACATGAGTGCAATAGCCTGTTGTGGATCTTCTATCGCCATGAGAGCCTGCATAGTCAGTCCGTGAATATTTCAACACTTCATTCTTTGCATATCTTATACAATATTCCCTTGCCTGGTGTCCCCTTCAAGTATTTCAAGATTTTATAAACTGCCTTGAGATGTTTTTCTTTTGGGGTATGTGCATGTTGACTAGCTACATTGACTGTAAATGCAATATCCGGTCTTGTATGGGAGAGATAGATAAGTTTTCCTACTAATCTTGGGTATCTGCCCTTGTCAACATCGTTTCCTTCACCTTCTTCTTTATTGTTCCCTTCACTTTCTTCTTTATCTTCTTCATCTTCTTCATCACTGTTGCTAGTTTCTTCTTTATCCTTAGGTTCCTGTTTCTTTTTCTTCCTTTTCTTGGTTGTAACTTCTATTGGAGTGGAACTAGGCTTGCAGCCTAACATACCGATTTCCTTGAGGAAGTCGAGTATGTACTTCCATTGCGAAATATATATTCCCCTTTTTAATCTTACTACTTCCATTCCAAGGAAGTACTTCATTTCTCCTAAGTCTTTAATGAGGAAATCCTGTGCCATTACAGCTTTTATTCTTTCTATTTCTTCAGAGTCATCTTCTGTGAGGACTATATCATCCACATAGACACTTAGGATGGTTTTCCTTCCTTCTGTGTTTAAAGAAGAGCGTGTGATCACTTTGCCCCTATTTGTAGCCCTCTCTCTTTAGGACTTGAGTGAATCATTCAAACCATGCACATGGAGACTGTTTCAGCCTGTATAATGATTTTTTCAGTTTACACACCATGTTTGGCTATTTTGTTGGGAATCCAGGAGGAGGTATCATACATACTTCTTCCTTCAGGTCACCATTCAAGAAGGCATTTCTGACGTCAAGTTGATAAATTGGCCAATCCAAATTTACGGCCAGTAATATTAATATTCTGACCGTGTTGAGTTTGGCAATCGGAGCAAAGGTTTCAATGTAATCTATTCCATAAATTTGTGAAAACCCTTTTGACATGAGTCTTGCCTTGAACTTCTCAATGGTACCACCTGCCTTGTATTTTGCGATGAACACCCACTTGCATCCCACAGCTTTCTTTCCTTTTGGTAGTGCTACTTCTTCCCAGGTACCATTCATCTTTAAAGTGTTCATTTCTTCTATTATCACCTCTTTCCATCTTGGAGATTGTAGTGCTTCTTCGATGTTTGTAGGGGTCTTTATGTTGTCCAAGTTACTTATAAATGCTCCATATTACGATGATAGAGCCTTGTTGGAGGCATAATTTTCAATAGGATGCCGGGTGCAGCTCCTTGGCCTTTTTCTTTGTGCAATTAGGAGATCTAGGTCTAATTTGGTACCACCTGTTTCTGCATCATTTGCACCAGATTGATCAAATACGTCGGTTGTAGGAGCTGTCACCTGTTCAAACTTATGGTGATAATTGGAGTTTGATGGCCCGTGTCTTGTTCTTTTGGTGTGTACTTGGTCAATATTTTGTTTTGTTTTGTTTTTATTGTTATTTTGGACCTGTTTTTCTCCTTCAGACAATTTCTCCCCCTTAGTTTGATTTTCCTTAAGTTTAAGGGTGAAAGGAGGTTTATATTCAAGGTACAAGTCAGAATCTTTGTCTGGGGACTGCAATTCATCTACGTACTCCCCTTGATTTGTGGTTTTAGGATAAAAAGGTTCTGTTTCATGAAAAGTAACGTCACATGTTATAAACAGTTGTTTCCGGATAGGGTCGTAACACTTGTATCCTTTGTGAGAGGGTGAATAACCCAGGAAGATACACTTAGTTGCTCGAGGATCTAATTTATCATGGTGATGGAGATGGATAAATGCTGTGTAACCAAAAAATTTTAAGGGAAGGTTATTTTCAAGGTATGGAACATAGTGAGTGGCTTGAAGAACTTCTAAAGGGGTTTAAAAGGATAAGGGTTTACTTGGCATTCTATTTATTAAGAATGTGGCAGTGAGAATAACATCACCCCAATAGGATTTTAGTACATTGTGTGTGAGAAGGAGAGTACGTGCAACTTCTAAAATGTGTCAGTTCTTTCTCTCTGCAATACCATTTTACTGAGGGGTGTAGGGACAAGAGTTTTTATGTATAATTCCATGCTGTTGTAGAAAGGTATTAAGGGTATCATTCACATATTTAGTGCCATTATCACTATGAAGGATTTTTATGGAGGTTTGAAATTGATTTTTAATCATATTGTAAAAATTTGTGAAAATAGTGGAAACTTCAGACTTTCTTTTAATAAGTAAGTCCAGTATACTCTAGTATGATCATCAATGAAAGTTCTAAACCATTTATGATGTGTTCTATTAGGGATACGACGTGGTCCCCAGAGTTCATTATGAATAGTTGTAAATGGTGCTGAAGGTTGATAAGTATTTCGGTAAAAGGTAGGGCGCTAATGTTCAGCAACTTCACAAATATCACAATAAGTTTCAGAAATATCTTTATTTGAAAAACTAGAAGGAAACATTTGAACCAAAATTGAAAATTAGGGTGTCCAAGGCATTTATGCCATAAAAGAAGATCCCTATCTTTAGAAAGAGAAATTTTATTTCCAATGCTAGGTTTTATTGAGGCTTCATCAAAATAGTATAGGTCATCAAACTCTTTAGCATAACTAATCGTCCTCTTTGTTGACAGTTCCTGACATTTTTCATAAAAGTCAGCATGACATTTTTCAGTTTGTGTAAGTTTATGCACGGAGAGTAAATTACATCTCAGGTTTGGTACATGAAGGACAGCATAAAGAGTAAGTGATCTAAAATTTTAATACTTCCTATACCAATGACAGGAGACATAGAGGCATCAGCAATTTTTACTTTTAGAGATCCATCACATTGAGTGTAAGCATAAAACAAAGAACGATTATCAGTCATGTGGTCAAAAGCTCCTGAGTCTACTATCCAACATCTACTTGAGCATAAGCCTTGAATAACATTTAAAGCACGTATAAAATTACCTTTATGGACTACCGTGGCTGTGGGTTGGCGACATGCTGGTTGTCCAGAGGGTTGTAGGTTAGAGAGAATCTCCATTAATTTTGAGAATTGTTCAGTAGATATGCTTGGGGATGATGATGGCTTCTCTTCCCCTTTTTCAGCAATATAGCCTCGGCCTTTCCCTCTTTTTGGTTTCGAATCTACTGGTTTTCCATGGATGTCCCAGCATGCGTCTTTTGTATGTCCTGTTTTCTTACAATGCTTACATACAGGTTTAGTTTTCGCACTTCTTTGATCAGTGTTTTGAGGGACAAGAGCAGAAGGTTCAGAATTAATTGAGGATTCTGGAGAGATTGTAACATAACCTTTCTGCGAGAATCCTCTCTCGTTACTTCTGCAAAGGCTTCCCAAACGGCGGGCAGGGATTCTCAGCTTAATATGCGTCCTCTTACTGCATCCAAGTCAGTATTGACTCCAGATAAAAATTCAAAAAGGCATTCCTTATCCACCCTTTTTTTAGATTGTGCTGCATCTTTCAAACACTTCCAAATTTCTTCATTTTTTATATCTAATTCCTACCTTAATGCAAACATTTTTAGATAATATTCATTCTAACTTCCATTACCTTGCTTCATTTGCCACAGCTTAGTTTTTATTTCAAAAATTTGTGATACGTTCTCTCCATCAGAGTAGGCTTCTTAAACTGCCTCCCATATCTCCTGGGCAGTGGTAAGAAACATAAAGCTACTTTTGATATTGGGCATCATCGCATTAATCAACCATGAGGTTACCAAAGAGTTCTTCGCCTTCCATGTACACAGAGCTTGCAAGTTATCTGAGGTCGAACATGTGGCGTTGTCTGTGAGGTATTCAATCCATCCTCTCCCTTCAACGGTAAGCTTGATCGATTAAGCCCACTCTTTGTAGTTATTCCCAGTGAGTTTTTTGGGAACGATGAGCATGACATTCCCCTCAAATCCATACATCGCCATTTGGGTCCTTGGATTTGAGGAGCCTGAGCTATCAGAATCAAGGGTCGACTTAGTTGACTCATTGTGGCCGTCATTTGGCATGTTTCAAAGATTTTCTGTGTCGATCTCCCCCTCTAACTCTGATACCATGTGAGTTAGGGAGATATATTTGATTGAATTTGTATATTATTCTATTTATAGAGAGCGATTTATAGAGCTTTATACAGAGGCTACTGAAACATAAAAGGAAAAATATTAAAGGCCTTTAATCCTAATTACAACGATAAAAAAGAGTGAAAGAATGAAATAATGAGAAATTAATTGTCCTAATTTCTGGAGTTGATTTTAGGATTTCACACAAAGTAACCCTAGTTACCTCAACTCCAAGCTTAGCACTTGGCTTTAACACAAGGCACTGCTCTATAAGCTAGGACACATGCTAATCTATATCATCATAGAGATTATAGTCAAACACAAGCCATAACTAAAATACGAAACTAAAAAATCTCAAGTCTCATATCCCACAATAACTCCCACAATCTAACTTTCCTAACTTATAACCAAAACTCTCAATCCAAAATTGTAGTTGTCAATTCTTCCATCCAATTAACTCATTAGACTCCTTGATTAACCTCAACAACAATCATCCAATCAATTCTTAAGTCCCACACTTATAATTCTCAACCTCCAGCATGCCCCAACATTGAAAAATCATTAATATCAACAATCTAAGCTGATTAAAGCTCTCAATAAATACAACTCAATTAATAAAACACCATTTTAATCACCATATTATCAAAACTTAACAAATCTCACTTCTAATATCAAATTCTAATTTCCAAGTTTCATATAAATCAAAATCCAATTAAACTAACCCAAATAACTCTAAGAAACATAAAAAGATTTGGTCAAAAACTCAAAATTTTCAAAATCCTCAAGAACCCTAAAAATCTTAACTTTCGAATCTAAGAAAAACCAAGAGAAAAAAGTAGAAAACAAGTTAGAATCACTTACTTGAAAGTTTGGAAGCTCAAAAACATTCCCCAAGGCCAAAAACCACAAATCTTAGCAAAGCTCCTTTGCTTCTCCTCCCTTCTCCTTCTGTTTTTTACGCTTCTGACACTAGTTTTTATTAGTGTTTTCATGAGTTTGCTGAAACAAACCTCACCTTTTGCAGCGACTAAAAACACAAAGGCGCTAATAATTTAAATTTTAGACACATTCACTGTGGCAAACTTCATAGAAGCATCAAGTCTCCCCTCCATGATATTTTCCATGAACGTCACCGTGGGGAAGAACACAGAGCATATCCCTTCTCCCTTTTATGCCATTTGCCTCGACAAACTTCTCCTTCTGCTGTGGTGAAAAACATAGAGTTATATTTAGCCTCAAAACCTCTAGTCTATCCTTTTTTCCTTATCCACCTCAAATAACCATTAACACTTTAAGATCAGATTACAATCAAACTTAATTACTCTTATATCCTTGATTAAAAACACAAATGTTACACTCTTCTTTTTGCTCATCCATCCCTCTTATTCTGTTCAAGTTTTTCTCCATTTGTTTGGAACCAAGCATACTATATTTGAATTTTGGAATTGAAACCTTTCGATTTTTGATGACGAGTGGAAATCCATTTCTGTTATTAATTGTAACATAGAACCCAAATTTTGTGCATTTGATAACTTGAGTTGGGAGTTCCTATCCCATTCAGTAAAATAAAGCCCTTTCTTCTTTGTTTTAATTTTTCTTACTTTCTGGCAAGTTGCAAGAAGCGGTATAAATGTTTTATGTTTGTACTCTTTTTTAACTTATTTATAATACGTATTATGTTTCTTTCGATCTTGTTGGTGTTGCTTAATTTGTAGTTTGCATTCAACTTTGCTTGTCGAGAATTTATAAATTCTATTTGGACTCAATATATATATATATATATATATATATATAAAAGAGAGCCCAAAACAGATCAGAAAATTGAAAACCAAATTGAAATATTTTAGTTATTCGGCTTGGTTAATTTCCATTAATCGTTTCGGTTTGGTTCAAAAATTAATCCAATTTAGGTTTTCGATTTTTTACTAAAAACTGAACTGAAAGGTCACCCCATCGTACAACTTGTTGTGTCGATTTTTTTTTTCCAATTAGAGACAAGGATGCTTGATTTGGTTTTCAAAATGATTTTCAATCAAAATGATATTACTTAAAAAAAGCTACAACAAAAGTGCTTTCTAGAGGAATTATTTTGATTGAAGTAAGAAATTCTTGAGATTATCGTGAAGTTTTGCTTTTTGAAAGATTAGAATTGAAGGATGGAAAGATAATTATTTAGTCGATACTCTTGTAGTTCTTAATATAATACATATTTTATTGTGCAAATTACACTATAAAGTAAATCCTATAGGGCTAAAAAAGTACTAATTATCAACAAATATCTCAAGAGTAAAATACTTTGAACTCCGTTGCATTTTGTCTTAATTATATGTACTTCTCCTCTATTGGGAAAATATATACTTAAGTCAAAACTTTTAACTCAATTAAGAATATTCTAAAAAAATGCTTTTTAATTAAAATTTATGTTGGAATACTTTTTGTTTACTAATTTACCCTTTATGATACTAAATTCCTAAATTTTGACTAAAACTATTTTGAAGAATTTAAGATTTTTTCTCTATTTTAATTTTATCTTTTATTTTTAAAAATTGTTATTTATTTAATGGTTTTATCATATTAGACCAGAAAATTCATAATTTAGTTAATGTAGACATAAAAAAAATTGAATAGAAGTTTGATGAATTCTTGAAACAAATATGTAATCAATCAAATTAAATAAGTTATAAATATTTTAAAAAAATTTTTAAAAAAATTTAAATTATAAATTTAAATGCTTTATATAATTTTCCAAACTCATATAATTTATATTATATGATGAAAAAATAAGCACTTAAAATATTTTCTAGCCATTTAAAAAAACCTTAAGTTTTAATATTTCATGAAGAATTAAAATTATGTAATTCTATAATATAATCAAAATTAATAAATTTTATAACATATTAAAAATTTTGGATGTACATGTATTATAATTATTTTTTGTTGTATCAAAAAAATATTTTTTTATCAATATAAATATTTAAAAAACGTTTATGTTAAAGAAAAATATTTTGGTCAAAATAAAAGTTTGAAAATCAAACTTAATAATCAATTAATAGTTGGATGGATGAAAATGAAATTTTAAAAATATAAGAAAATTCTGTGTAACATACATTTTAATTTTAAGAACGGTTATATATATTTTTAAAATAGAAAAAATGCTTATATAATTTAGGTAAAATAAAGAGATAGTCAATGTATTTTACTCATATCTTAAATAGGTTACTTATAAACTTTATAATTTCAATTTTTATTATTTTCATGTAAATAATGAATTATTTTATTTTTTTAAATAAGAAATTTGCTAGAAGCTTAAAAGAAAAAAAATTGCACGCATTTCCAAAAAAAAAATGCACGCATTGGTGATCGATTAAAGCGGGAAGGGTAAAATAGGAATAAGACGTTCCTATAAAGGCCTCCCGTCAAATTTCCCGCCATTTCACTTCGTCTCCTTCCCCTCACATCTGAGAAACCCTAGAACTGTTGCAAGAAGAGATGGCAATTGAAGAAGAAATTAAGGCAGAGTTCGGAAGAAGCGGTTTTGACCTTGAAGATGAAGAAGAAATTCTAAACAAATGTAAGCTTGTTCCCTTCTTTCTATCTATCAATTTCTTATATTCCCCCAACTAATTCATGTCGCACTCTCAGTTAAGAAATGTAAGCTCGTCTCGATCAATTTCTCATATTCTGGAAAATAATTCACGTCGCACTTTCAATCTTCTCTTGTAGGTCTCCCATTTTGCATAAACTACAGTCTCAAGCCTTCGGATCTCGTTTCAAGTTGGGAGGTTTATTATCTAAACAGGTTTGTACTCCACCATTCGTATTATTCAACTAGTTTGGTGAAAATTGAAAATTTCTGCTGAATCTCATCGAAGTTACTCAGCAACCTTCTTTTCTGTTTTTGACAGTTGGCTAGGCAACTTATAGTTTCCGAGTTTGGAAAATCATACTGTAGTATTAGGTACCAACTACTCACATATCCAAAAGGGAAAAAAGGATTGAAATCCTTGATAATGAATCCCCGTGCAGTTGCCCCTAACATATTCAACCTAAAATATGAATTACCTCCCAAAATAACTGGAATACTTTTAACAATTTTTTGATCTTGATGAGTAGCAACTTTTGCGCAGTCAGTATATGAGAAGACGTTAATATATATCTTTGCCTGGGTTTTTCAATTCCATTGAAGAGGCCAATTGGTTCAATAGGCGTTTTAATTTTATTGAGTACTTTAATAAATAACTCACAAGCACTTTATGATAGAACTTAATGGCTGTTTTGCCATTGCCAGACAGCTGAGTGGATCAACAGTTCAAAGTGCTGAAATAGATGGCTTTTTGGTGTACCTACAAAATGAGCAGAAAGAAGCTATTGTCAAGGAGGAAACTGATATTCATATTTACTCTAGTAGAGATGTAGAAATGTAAGCATTTTCTTTTACATATTTTGCTTATTTTTGTCCATGGTTGTTATTTGCCTAATGCTTGAATTTCTTGTCTTGCTCTGCACTAGCAATTGAAATGGGATTCCTGTTTTTTTTTAGCCACTTATGAATTGCATTGTTGAAAATGAAGCGTTCTGCGTTCTGTAGAAACAGTATGCACGAATTTTTTTAAAAAATTAAACTATTTAACGCCATTAAATGGTTTCCTTGTAATTCATTCTAATTTACAGTGACAAATGTAAGTATGTCCCTTCATTATTGCTATAATCTGTTCTCTCAGCTTTAGGAGATTTTATATAGAAATTGGTAGTTGATTCGCATATCTGCAAAACAAATATCCAGGGTTGTTCCAATATTTTTATATAACGAGAACTTTTTATGTAGGATCTTAAATGATGATGATGATATTTCAAAAGATGATGCTCCTGGAACTCCGACAGATCATCAACAAGCTCTTCTATCACCTGCATATGATCCAACCTCTTTAACTAATGGGAGTGTTTTATCATCTGGAAAATCATCAAAACCTGCAACAACATTTTCTAAGCGCACAAATAGGCTTGAGGTGAAGTTCAGCATCAACAACATGCCTGATCTAGAGAATAGAAAACAAGAACCTGGTCATGAGAATGATGAGGATGACATAGTCAGAAAGGTTCATCCACGGCAAAGGTGTTCATTTTTGGTGCATGGATCAGGGCCCAGACCAGGTTGTAGATTCATGTATGATAGGACTGAAGATCGGGTACGTGGTATTTTGTGTCTTCTTTAGCTCTTCACCTTTAAACTTCTGCTGAGACATGTCTGTTTTTTGGCTATTTAGTTTAATGCATTAGAAAACCGAATTAAGAAACATACAAGGGTGCATGTGGCGTCTGGGCACTATGAAGAACCAATGGACCCAACACTTGCTTCACAGGTAACTTATAAACCCCTTCCCTTCCCTTCATCTCTTATGATTTACAAAAAATATCGAATGCTAGGTTTTAAAAGTCATTCTGGGTGACTGAAACTTAATAATATTCTCTGCTCTCTAATAAAATTGTCATTTTCTTTGAATTTCAACCAGCTTTCATATTCTAGTCTGCAAATGCTTGAAGCCCTCCTTGTTGAATAAACTTTCATGCATTATGTTTTTCAGAGAAGCATTTTCACGGTTGGCATGATTTCTTGTGATGGAGAAGGGCGTCTAAATGAGAAGTCTGTCATGCTGCAGAGCAGGTAAATAGGCCCTTTTTTTGTGTGTCAAAAAATAGGCCCTTAGTTTACTTATACTAGTTATGCGCATATATCCATTATCAGGTTGGCAAAATCATCCTTTTTCCCAAAACAACTGATCTTGTTAAACAAGTCTTTATTATGCATTAATTTGTCAAGGAGAACAAAGCTATTTACATTGAAATTCCTAGTCAAATGTTTTGTTACATTTTATGATGCATTATCTTATTTTTGGACCTCTGTTCGTAGAATGGCCTATTGTTGCTAAAATTTGCCCCTTCAGTCTTGTCTCATATATGGTCTGTTTTCTAACACCATGACAGTGCTGAGAACTCTGGAGGGCAACGGGTTCGCCTAGAATTACAACAACTAAGCCAGTTTTCAGTTTTCCCAGGGCAGGTGAGAAATGGAAAAGGCACTGAGGCTGAAATTTCTGATGTAGTATGTTGAAAATTTCATTCAGAATTCAAGATATAAAAGCAGGGTTCCATCATGACAGGTAGTTGGTATTGAAGGGCATAATCCTAGTGGTCACTGTTTAGTGGCATCCAAAATGGTAGATTCTATAGTTGCCTCTCTTGGTGATAGCGAGAATTTGAATCCAGCAAAGAGGCAAGCCTTCGATAAGGAAAATCATCTGACAGATCTGCCTTGCAAGCAGAGGGAGTTATCAATGGTTCGTATGTTTTATTATTTGTTAGAACATGAGTTACACAAAATAATATATATTATCTGTCATATTTAACCTATTGTTATTAGTAGTTATGCACTGGTTTTATTTATTTATTTAGTTTTTATAAATCCACTTGGAGCCTGAAGGGATTTTCAACTTTTTGTTCGATTAATATTGTACACTACAGATTGCCTACCTTGGCAAAAACAGAATCGGGCAATCTTGTGACGCTTGCCTGCTTTGGCATTGTTCTTTTTCATATACATAATAGAGATAGCATAGTTTTGATTAATGCCGCCTTTTTTCCCATATCTTAGGGAGAATTATCATGAGGTTTCAAGAAAAGAATTTAATTACGGAGAAATTCTAATGACAAGTGACCAGCATGAACCTATTTTCATACCGTACTCTGAAACTTGTCATTACATACTCTTAGTTGTCAATGGATTTTAGAGTAATTACATCTCTTCCTTGGGACTTAATTGTAATTCTCCCTTTTTTTTTTTTTTTTTTTTGTGGTTCTGTTGTGGTTCTTTACATCCTGGAACTCATAGTAACTGGCATTTTATACCTGGCTTGGTGCCTTACAGGTTATTGCAGCTGGCCCTTTTACTACCACAGATAATCTGTCGTTTGAACCTCTTGCAGAACTACTGGCATATGCAAAGAAAAGACCACCACAATTAATTATATTGGTTAATATCAGCCTGTCTGCAATTTGCTTCTTCCTATTAGCCGTTATGTTAGATCTACTGGTGCAAACTTGTGATATTGACGACTGAATTTTCTCTCAGATGGGACCATTTATTGACACTGAACACCCAGACATTAAAAAGGGAACCACAGAAAGGAGCTATGATGAAATATTTCGTATTGAAATCCTCAGAAGGGTATTAACTAAAATAGAATAATTTGTTTTTGGAATTGTGTTCGTGTGCATTTTCTTTGCTAACTCCCCTTTCCCTAATTCCAGTTGGAAGATTATGTAGAGTGTATGGGTTCTGCAGTACGTATTCTTCTCGTACCTTCTGTACGAGACGCTAACCATGATTTTGTTTTCCCTCAGGTAATGATAAGTTTTAGCCAACCAGAATTCTATGATAATTTATTTTGACTTATCTAAAAAACATTCTACTATAATTGTTCTGTGGCCATTAGAATCTGTGATTCTATGGCAAGGTAGTTTATAGATTCAAATACTAATTCAACCATTGTTTCCTGCAGCCCGCATTTGACATCAATCTTCCTGATCTCAAGCCTCAGGTATAGTGATTTTAAAGCATTCAAGAATCCATCTTCAATTCTTCATAAATGTTGCTACTTGCTAGTATTGGCAGCATATCAGTCCTTCGCAACAGCTATGCTTATTTAAGTAGTTTGTTTTATTGTTCAGATAGCCAGTATCACTAATCCTGGAATTTTTGAGGCAAATGAGGTAATGCATTAATGATTTTGCGTCATGGCTTCATCATGTGCCTCTTTTAAAATCTGCACTTGCTTCTGAGCTTTTGTACATCTAAATTGCCCTGACGTAAAAGAAAAATTCAAACAGGATAATTTTAATATAAGCAATCGCAGGATTCATAAAATATGATACGGGGCATTGCTTACATTATGATGTACGAACCCAATAATTGGCTATATTTTCCTACGTTACAATCTCTCTAAATGTATGAATTCATACGATCCAATTTAGATTGAATTGCATGGCCAGGAATGATACACTTTTGTATTTGGAGCTATGATCTAGCTTGAGACGCATCTGATGGACGTAAGGAAAGTACGTGCAAGGAAATTCTAGTTGGTTTTAGGAGCCAAGTTTTGGATGTCTTTTTCATAATAGCGTGCTATTAAAAAAAAAAAAAAGTTTAAAGAAAAAGTGATAGGGTTTAGATGCCGTGAATATCTGGAGAGGAGCATATGAGAAGTATTTTCACCGCGGAAATTGGGTTTCAGGTCAAGGTTGGTTGCTGCACCGTGGATATTCTCAAGCAGCTGAGTGGGGAGGAAATATCACGAGTTTCAGCAGATGCGAAACCCAGTGATCGCATGAGTAGACTTGTAAACCATATTCTTAAGCAACAAAGGTTTGACAGCACTCAAATTTTGTCACTGCTGTCCTTTATTAATTTTATTTTTTTTGTCTAGAAAGCATCAGGAGCCATAATTGATACCCTTTAATATTTTTGAATCAGCTTTTATCCTCTTTATCCACCGGCAGAAAGTGTTCCCTTGGACCATTCTCTTGCTCCAGAAGCTCTTCAAGTCCCGTCAGTGCCGGACATTCTCATTTTACCTTCAGACATCAAGTACTTTATCAAGGTTAATATTTAACCTGCCAAGATTGCTTTCATTTTCCCTAAACTATCAAAGCTCACTGTTGGCAAAATGGAATATCACAGTTTTAAAATTTAACTTAAATGCTTATTTTGGTTAGAGCATTCAGATGTTAGTGATCTTGCACAGGTGCTTAGTGAAGGAAGTGAAGGGGACCACATGAAGTGCATTTCTGTCAATCCAGGAAGACTAGCCAAGGGAGAAGGAGGGGGTACTTTTGCCGAGCTTGACTTCTATGGGAATTCTGACACAAGCAATGCTTCAATTGTTGGCATATAAACTGTTGAGTGCTGGATCAAAATATCTAGAGCTTCCCTCAGGTTAGATTATTGATCTTAGCTTGTATGACTAGTCCCTTGATTACCTTTGCTGTAATTATATCTGCTATCAGTAGTTATTATCCCTTATTCTTTATTAATTTTTATATCATACAGATCAGAATAACTGTTCTAACAATGCTCCCTGCCATGTTAGACGTGACATTTCACGTCTGATAACCACAAACGGATCTGTAGCCTGGTTGCAGGCTACGACTATTTACCCAACGCCCGGGTTTATATTTCTACGACCGCTTAAAGTTTGAATTGGACTAGTCACAAATGGATGCAGGGGTTTGGACAACTGTAACTCTAACTCTGTCATAGAAATTGAATCCTTATGCATTGAAGCATTTGGGGTGGTTGAAAAATGATTGAGAGATTTATATTTCATCTTTATATAAAACAAAACGCAAAAAGTGCAATAGCACAAGGAGTAGGATTCTTAATCAACATTTATATTTACAGTTATATATATATGGCGCTCTCTCTATTCAACAACAAATGCTTCCAAGTAAAAAGAAAATTCAACAAAAATTCAATGAACTGCCTAACATCAGAGAAACGTGCGATCGTGTACAGTCAAGGGTCATGAATGTAAAAGCTCGTAGATATAACAGCGTTAATATTAGTGCAACGATGATTACTGTAATCATGAACTTTAAATAAATCTATTTTTGTTTGTGTAAATTAATATAAAATGACCATAATAACAATATCAAATAAGAAAACTTCAACCCTTCCATTTATTTCCTCATCGTCTCCTACCTGCTAGAAGTTGGGCGGTAATAGAGTGGGGTGATTGAGAAAGACTATGGAGGTAAGGATAAATAGTATTATATTCATTTCCAAATTCCTACATTAGGTAAGGGTAAATAATGTATTTTTTCCAATTCGCACACCCTATAATCCCCATTCATGTCATAACAATATAATTACTTTTACATTATAATCAACATTACAAAATGTAATCTTTACATTACATAAGCATAACCAAATGCAACAGGATTATATATGATTTCCTTTTGTGTAATCGTTTTGAACGGGCCATTAGAATGCTTCAGGGAATGATCAGCACTAGGAGCAAAATAAGCGAATTCCTAGCAATCAGCAAAGCATCACCAAGAAGGGAACCAACTCGCAAAGTGGCTGAATTGCATAAAATATTAGTGTTACACCTATTCAACCTCAACATGACTGACTAAACGAATACCAAAATGCAACAAGATGCCAAATGCACCCTACGAAAGTGCCTATTGAAAAGCGTCCTCTTATGCTTCAGCAAAACAACACAACTAGAACCCTAGTTCTATATCACGGAGTTTTCCTAGATTGAGCAACAATCACCACATAATTAACTGCCCTTTTGATCCGCCATGCCCATCAGGATGAATACTGAAGTGTAGAAATTCTGTTTCCCAGAAAGAGAGACTGCTGGTTTACATCACCATTCCTCCATCAATAGTTAACACCTGAAATATAGCAACTTTGATAAGCACGTAATGCTTGATTCAAAAGAGAACTGAACTGAGATGATCGGACAGCTAACAAAGACTTTAATTTTGTTGTTGTTGTAGTAGTTATTAAGGAAAAAAACAAGACCAAATTTATTAGGTAGAAATATTACAAGGGATAGTTAACAAGAAGGCTCGGGGAACTTATCTGCAGGCTTATAGGAGTCTAAGCACCATATTTAGAAATACCAAAATTGGTTAAAAGACTATCAATATCTAAACTAATAACATCATTAGCTCGGCCTATATCTCCCATTCTGAAGAAAGGGGGCCTAAACCCAATAAAATATCTGAATGATCTGGTATCTGAATATGCCATTAAAGTTTTTTGAATGCAACCAAAAATTTAAAAAAAAAAAAAAAACAGTTGACTAGTCCAAGCCAGGATAAAAAAGAACAAGAAGAAATCAATAAGGCAGTAGATAAATGACCTGTCCAGTGATGTAACTGGCAGCAGGATTAAGAGCCAAGAATTCCACCAGTCCAGCTACTTCTTCTGGTTGTCCATATCTTCCTGAATCCAAAGTGGAAAAAGCAAGTTATTAACATCTCAAACAATATAAAACGCTGAAAAATTTCCCGCACTCCAGAGCCTAGAATAATTTGGTCACTCTCACCTAAGGGGATTGACTCCAAAATTTTTTCTCGATGTCCTCTCCAAGCTTGGCAGTCATGTCCGATGCAATAAACCCTGGAGCAACAGCGTTGACCTGGAGAAACACTAGGTTTTAATTAAATTCCATCAGCTGGTAACATATCTTGGACAGCACTTAGGGATTCCAAAGCTTTATGTATTACATTGATATTTCTGCTTGCATATTCCCTTGCAACAGTTTTCGTCAGGCCAATTACTCCTGCCTTTGCAGCACTATAATTGGCTTGTCCAACATTGCCAACTAGACCAACAACCGATGCAATGTTGATTATCCTTCCCTGCAGAAAACTCAAGTTGTTGTTGGATACCATGAATTTGTGTTATGAATACGACAGCAACAAACTAGAATCTAGAACTGATACCAAAATACTAGGGTTTAACTTCCCATTTAGTAGAATAGAAATACAACACCTCACAGCTCACTCACATATTATGGAACATGTATATTATAGAAGTAAAGAATAGAAAAGAAACAGGCAAAACTGGTAAACTAACAAGAGAGACTAGTCAGTTTAATGGCCAAGGAGTAATATCCAGTAGCATCCGTGCAGCTTACCACAAAAACCAAAAATAAACAATAGGAAAGAAGGAATTTAAATGGACTTAATATGTCACCTTCTTTTTCTTCATCATAATTTTAGCAGCTGCCTGTAAAAGTTTTTAAAAAAAAAAAAAATCTCAGCTCCAATAAAAGGCTAAATATTTTTTTCTATATGGATGAAAATATAAACTTAAGTCAAGGTAAATATTTTTTTTTCTATATGGATGAAAATATAAACTTAAGTCAACATTAACTTGAGTTCTGAACATACCTGGGTACAAAGAAAAACACCAGTGAGATTGAGATCAATAACTTCCTGCCACTGAGATTTCTTCATTCTCATTAACAAACCATCCCTAGTTATTCCTGAACAGGGGCATCTTCATCAGAGTATGATATATGATGACAAAGTATGCTAGAGCAAGATCTTAGATCCAGGTTACCCGCATTGTTTACCAACACATCAACAGTTCCCCAAGCATCAACTGCCTGCAAATGTAAAAGTGATGAAACATCCAATAATACTAGTCAAAATAAAGTAAAAATATTTACTTACCGTTTTAATCATAGCCTCCACATCAGCCTCATTAGAAACATCTCCCCCAAATGTAAGAGCTTGTCCACCATACTCCTCAATCTGCAAGAAATCAATAAACCAACATAATTCAGTAAATCGCCACTTAAGAAAACTGACAGATAATGAAGATGACAAAAGCAGATATCATCAGTATAATGAGCCAAATACATGAGCAAGCATACATACATATGCTTTACAGTACCTGCATTTGGTTAAGTCACAGGAATATGAATGATAGTGAATTACAAAGTTAGCATGCAGTTGTTCTAATTTGAAAGAGGGTCAATCTTTTATCTTTGTTTTCATCAACCTCACCTTCAACTATGTAAAGCAAGAATGACAGCATAAAAGTAACTGATCAAGAAACCTCAGCAATGATCAGTGAATTTATCGAGGAACTGAGCACGAAGTAACCTCTGATATATATATGCATTAGGTTCCAAACACTAAACGTTAAAAAAGAGCAAGTTATGGCAAAGTATAATACAAAAAATGCACATAGCTTCTACCTGCTTGGACACCTCCTCTGCCTCTTTGGATGATCTTGCATAATTAATAAGGACCTGCAATAGAAAGCTCCAATAATTTATTAGCAGGTGTTGTGAACTGTTTATAGCTGCTGAGAGTGGAGACAATTCATAGGCCAGACGAGCAGGGATGTCCTCTTGTTAACCAGTTATTAAAAGTGACCAAATTCTTGGATCTTCGTGGTTGCATCAAGTACCCCAAAATAAATTGAAGTCTAAATCTTAACAAAGAAACATAATTCATCTATTTGAAAGCACAAACCTGTAACATTCAGAAAGTCTATCAAGTGTCAATTTATAGTTCCATTTTAGCTGATGCAACTTTATTTTCAGTCAGAAAAATGACATACTACTAGGCGAAACCTATCACTTTTTTCCCATCATTAAACACAAGTCATTCCGTTACATGAACTTTGTGCGCGCGCGCGTGATTACAGGCAGTTTGAACTGGTTCAAAATGAGACCAACAGTTCTGGCTTTTCAAACTGAAAAGTAGCCACTAACCTTGCAACCAGCTTTACCCAAAGACAATGCAATTGCTCGACCAATACCTCTGGAGGCTCCAGTCACTACCACAACAGGTGTTTCAACATTTTGGGCAGTTCCAGTGCCAGCTTCTTCAAGAGTGGCAACCTGAGCTCTTATAGCTGTGTTTGTGCGTGCATATTAGTGTGTCAGCGTTGGACATTATCATACGAAATTGTAAAATTCAAATTCAACGTAAGAAGCACAAGAATAAGCAAAAATCAGACGCATTTGTACGATTATCTAATTAAACTATACACTTATCAGGTTTTAATTAGAAAAACAGACGCTTCTTTATTTTAACTGGAAAGTATGGGGACTTCGATAACAAAGAATTGCATGAGTCTGCTGTAATCACCAAAATACTTAGTGCACTTCGTAATATCGTTGCTTTTGGTCTCCAACCAAAATATATTAAGCATATAATTTTCCTATAGTACGAGAAGACAACGATTTTTCCATGCAAATATGACGTTACGCATCTAAACTATACAGTTATCAAGTTTTAATTGAAAAATGATTTACTAATTATTTTTTAGGGAATATATAAAAAAATTGCAGTGAGTCTAATACCGCGAATAAACCCGATTTCCAATTTAAAAAAAAAAAATAGCCTATAGTTTTGATTTTAAGAGACCCTAAAAACAATTCTTACAAAGTTAACAATGACAGGCCATTCGGAGTCCACATAACAGTATTCAAATTTTAAAGAGGAAAATCAGTACCAGAGGATCCGAATGAACTGTTGGATCTGCAGTGAATTCCCGAAAGGGGACGGAGGTGGTTCACATGAAGATGAGCGACTTTCCTGTTAGAAAAGCCTCCGAACTTGGGCGAAACGACGGGGGTTTTGAAAGCAACACAGTTTGATCCAGCAATGGAAGCCATGAAAGTTCGACAAACTCTCCGAACAGCGAAAATAGAAGAAGAATGAGACGTTGCAATGGAAGCCAGATGTGAATCGAAGAATGAAATTGCTGGGCTTTTTAAATCAAAAGTGGCGACAGTTAATAATGAAGCCTTAGATGAACATTGGAAGCTCCGGACACCGAAGGGAGGGCGAAAAAACTTAGGATGCGCATTTATACAGTACGTTTTCCCCAATTACCAGCTACCACGTGGCTGAGGGTGTAAGTGTAAATCAGAATCAGCTGTCCATATACTTTCCCGCCCCTTAATATAGTACCTAATTGTTGAGTTAATTTTAATCCTAAATACAAGACTTATTTATTATATTTATTAATTTTTTTCTAAATTATCCCTATGGATATTCTTTCAATTATAATCAAGTAAAAGAAAGAGGATAATATTAAGGAAGATGATTGTGGTGTTTGAGGAAAAATATACCAAATTTTTTATAATTAACTAACTTATCTAATTTTTTTAATCCAATCAAATAAATTAAATAGATCTTATATTAAAGATCAGAGGAGTAATTAAAGAAGAGAAACGAGTAGCTTCGTTTGTTTACCTAATACTACTATCAAAGCTTCTTAATATTACTTCCACTAGTTAATATAAAAATTAATTTGACATTCAATTTGGTCATAAGTATAACATTTTAATTTATTTTGTCTCTCATATTTATCTATTTTTTTCAAAATAGTCTTTATACTAGCTGCACATGTTAAATGTTCTATCAAATGATAGTTCTTATTAATACATATAATTAACAAGGGTATTTTAGAAAAAATAACATCACTTTATCACAAAGAACCAGCTTAACAAATTTTTTAAATTTACTTAAATTAGCTAACTAACTCTTATATTAAGGATTAGATATAGTATAAGAGTTTGATAATTAATTTATAAAAATTAAGCAAATTAGTTTAGATTAATTAGTTGTAATAAATAACTGTTATTTTTCCTAAAACGTTCTTGTTAATCATATGCATTGGAGTTACTCTTAACATGTGCAATCACTTAAGAATTATTCGAGAAGAAATGAATAAATACTGAGGACAAAGTATATTAGAGTTTGATATTTGAGACCAAACTATACATTAACCGCGAGATGGTAGCTCTGGTTCAAAACTTCAAATGATGCATCTGGAGAAGGAGTGCCAGGATAAACTAATAAGGGGGATGGTTCCAGGGGAATGGTTTATGGTTCAGAAGAGAAGAAAGCATGGAGGTAAGGATATGAAGAATGGAAGAGGTAGCCATGAAGGGAATTAGACAAGTCCAAATGGCTCTAGATTTCAACATTTGGAACAGATGAATGATATGTAAGTTGAGTAGACAGAACAAGTTGCGGTTAAAGAGAGCCCTGTTGAAGTAGTAGCTTAGAGCAGCAAGGAACCTGTTGCAAGAAATACATGAATGATTTTTAGTCAGAAAAAGAAAAGCAGGTTATCATGAAAGAAAAGGAAAAATAGAAAGAAGCAAAAGTGGGGAAGAGAAAGGCTACTGAGATTACTCAAAAAAGAAGTAGTAGCCCTAAACCATTAAAAAGCATATTGAGAAGATAGATCTTTACAGATAGTCAAAAGGAGTGAATTGGATGGTAGACAAGTCTTGAATGAAGTGAATGAGAATATTGTTCCTCCCAAGGATGGTTTGAATGAGGGAGGGACATTGGAAGGCCTTTTGAATACCAAACCACTGGATCATGGTGATTTTATGGAGACTAAACAGGATTTTACTGAGGAAGATTTGAATAGTGTGACTGTAGTTATAGAAGTGGATTTAGATAGAGGTGTTAACCTTGACATGGATTAAGTTGTTTTGTGTCTTAGTATTTTTCTTATTTTATGGATAAGAATCCACTTATGTGGAGTTGCAAAGGTATAGGGAGTCATGCCTTTGCACATGTTGTAAGTTTTTGGTTAATAACTGTAGAGCCGACTGTTTGGCTCCGTTAGATACGAGAGTGCCTTGTAACAGGGCAAAAGAAATTTTTCGTAGATTGGGTTTTGATGATTTCATTGTCATTGAGGGGAGGGGGTTTGCAAGAAGTATTGGGATTGGTTGGAAGTCTTGGAGGTAACGGTTAATTTGATTGAAAAGCACTTGCAGCTTGGGCATGTTGAAATCTCTTTCTTCGGAGAGGAGCCTTGGCTGCTTACTATTGCCTATGTTAATCTGAGAGAAGAAGGGAATAGGTGCTTTTGGGGAGAAATAAAGAGGATAAGTGAGATTGAGAGGAGACCGTAGATCATTATCAGAGACCTTAATGACATAAGGAAGGAGGAGGAGAGAAGTGGGGGTGCACCTATTAATATTGCTAGGTGTATTAAATTTCAAGAGTGAATTGATGAATGTGGTTTGATGGAAGTTTGAAGTTATGGGCAAAGGTTTACTTGGAAAAGTGGTCGCTGGTTCCTAGTTATTAGTGGGTCTATGAGAAGTTAGATATAGGATTGTGTAATGATGTTTGGAGGGATAGGTTTGAGGAGTTTAGAATTAAAATATTGCTAAGGCCTCTTTTATTGAAAATGGTAGAAGACGAAGGTAGAAGAGTGGTTAGACCTTTTCAAATTTTTAGCAGCCTCTATACTATATGATGATTTTGATCTTTGTTTAAAGGGTATTTGGACGCAAGGGGGTGATGTCTCGAAGAGTTTGTTTCTACTTAAAAAGGACCTGTGCTCATGAAATAAGCAAGTTTCTCATACTATTGATAATCGTAAAAAGCATTTAATGGCTAGATTAGAGGCTGTGCAAAGGAGAATTCATGAAGTGAGGAGACCTTTTCATCATTTATTAAAGCATGAAGCTAAATTATTGAAGGAGTCGAATGAAGTCTTGAATCAAGAAGAATTGCTTTGGTACAAAAGTCTCGAGCTGAATGGATTCAAGATGGTGACAGGAATACAATGTATTATCATTTAAAAACCATTAAAAGCAGATGGAGGAATAAGTCGAAAATGTTGAAAAGAGATGATTGATCTTGGGAGGAGGATGAAGACAAATTGAAGGATATGACTTTTCAGTTCTATAAAGCCTTATTTACTAAAGAGATTTCTGATCTATATTATAATCCCTCTGTCACAAGCTTTGATGTGTTAGAGGAAGGAGAAACGAAAAGGCTAGAGGTGATGGTTTCGGATGAAGAGATATACCGAGCCATGTTTAATATAGGAGCTTATAATGCCTCAGGACTTGATGGCTTCCCCATTATTTTTTATCAAAGGAATTGGAATATTGACTCGTATTCCTAAATTGGACTAACCTAGTATGATGAAGTAGTTAAGACCTATAGGGTTATGTAATATACTATACAAGTGTATTCTAAAAATTATAGTTAGTAGAATGAGAAGCTTACTATCAAAATTGATTTCACCTAATCAAGTGAGTTTTGTCCTTGGCATACCTAGAAGACTAATGTTGTGGCTCAAGAGGTCTTGTGTATCATAAAGAAAATTAGAGGCAAGAAAGGATTTGTGGTTATTAAAATTGATCTCAAGAAAGCTTATGACAAGGTTACTTGGCAGTGCATATGTGGGGTTTAGAATGAAATAGGTTTTGGGCCACATTTCTCTGATGTTATCATGAAATGTGTTGAGACTATTACTACTAGTGTTTTGTGGAATGGTGAATGCTTTGAGATGCTTGTTCTTTCAAGAGGATTAGACAAGGTGATCCCCTTTTACCTTATCTGTTTGTTCTTCTTATAGAGAAGCCTTCTTACTTAGTTAATGATGCATTAAGGGAGGGTAGATGGGAGCCTATCAAAATTCACAGAAATGGGCCAGAAGCTATCCATCTAATGTTTGTTGTTGACTTGTTGATATTTGGAGAAGCTTCAGTGGATCAAATCAGTTACATGGAAGAATACTTAACTAAATTTTATGCTACAAAAAGTGAATGTTGCAAAGTCTGATATGTATTTTCCTAAGAATGTGTCGTTGAATTGCAAAAAGGATTTAAAGAGGATTTAGGTTTTGTTGAAATAGATGATTTGGGGAAAACATTTGAATATTCCTTTGCAAGTAGGAAGAGGGAAGAGGAAGAATTTCAATTTCCTTCTGGAGAAAGTTAAACGAAAACTAGCTAAGTAGAAGGCAAATACTTTAAGCTTAGCTAGAAGAGTTATCCTCACTAAGTCTGTTTTGTCTTCTTTACCTATATATCATATGATGGCAGCTAAAATTCTCAAAGTCATTTTTGGTGAGAGATGGAGAGGATATAGTGTGCTTCTGTGTGGGGGCACCAAAGGAAAGATAGAAAAATACACTTATAGGCTAGAATTAGTTGCAACAGCCTAAGTGTTATGGGGGGGTTAGGGATTTCGAATATTAAGGCTATGAATAATGCTTGTTTGTTGAAAATAGTCTGGAAATTATGTGCAGATCAGAGTAGCTGTGGGTTGATGTTTTGAAGTGAAGGTATAAGGAGGGTGAGAAGTTTGGAGATAAAGTTAGAGTTAAACCTAGTGAGTCAACTATTTGAAAAGATATTGGCTTGCTTTGGTTGTTATTGAAGGATACTTGGTGTCAAGAGATTAGAAATGGTGTGAAGTTTTAGGAAGATAGATGGTTAAATGGGAACTATATATTAGCTGAACAAGTTATGAAGCCTATATCTACTAAATGGAAAAATTGGAGAGTGAAAAAAGGATGTTGATAACTGTGGGGAGTGAAATCTCCTTTTATTTGAAGAATGGTTGTCGAAAGGCATTATGTTGTGATTGAAGGCATACTCCCACCTATAAGAGGAGATCAGATGGATAACATTAGGTAGAGAGGAGGGAATTGTGGTGACTATATTGTAAAGAGTGGTTACCAGATGACAATAAAAGAGCGTAGGGGAACAGAAGGAAGTTGTTGGAAAGTAATCTAGGACTGGCTTGGTCTAAAGAGAGTTAGAACTTTTTTGTGGATGTTGATGCATGATAGAATTCACATGAATGTTATTAGACATTTGCGATGGGGGCCTTTGGAGTTTGTTGTGTTTATGGTGAGGCAAAAACTGGCTTACATGTGATGAGAGACTATTTGGTAGCAAAAGAGATTTGGAGAAAGTTAGTTTCTTTCGGAAAAAAAAAAGAAGTTGCTTTTTAGATTTGTGTTTGAATGATTGGCTTGTGTTGAATTTGAAAAGAGAAGTATGTAGAGCAGGAGGAATGTCTTGGTGTGGCGTGTTGATTTCTGTGAAAATCACGAAATAAGAGAGTTTTCTCACCTGAGGATCATGTGTAGTCTAAGGATAAACTTGCCATGCTATTATATAGTTTGTTGCTGCAATGGATAATGTAAAGCTGGTTCAACAATGGCCAAAAAAGTTGAAGGGTAGGTTTAAATGGATATTGCCTTCAAAAAAGTGGACGAAATTAAATATTGATGGGGCTAGTTAAGGTAATCGAGGCTGCAGTAGGTGTAGAGGTGTGGCTAGGGTTCATATGGATTCTTGGGTATTTGGGTTTTCAAAGAATTTAGGAATTTGCTTTGCTCTTGGGGCCAAGTTGTGGGGAGTGCTTGAAAGGCTTTAGATCTATTACAATAGAGGTATTAGAGGGGTGGTTGTGGAAACAGATTCTTGTGTTGTGTTAGCACAGATGGAAAGAAGAAAGGGGAGAGGGAGGATGGCGAAGAGCAGACTGTTACAGAGAGTCTGCGAGTAGTGCAGAAGAGAATGGTAGGTGATGGTGGTCTACTCACTGAGAGAAGGGAATAGGTGTGCTAACACCCTAGCCAATTTCGGTGTGGACTTACAAGATGGGCTTCTTGTTTGGAACAAGATACATAGTTGTGTAGAGATGGACTTTCTTGCATATTGCTTAGGGATTGCTTTTGAAAGAGGCCAATTTTTTTTTGGGTGTTTTTGTGTGATTTTTCTTAGGTTTTTCTTGGGTTTTAGCCCCTTTCTATACCAAAAAAAAAATTCAAATGATGTGAATGCTTGGTATAAATATTTGATTGGGTGTCTCTAATATAAAGAAAATTACATCTTGGGTCACAAATTAATTGGGATTATATTGTTGAAACACGTGAATGAGAATGTGAATCTCCTTCAATCAACTAGGAAAATATATTATTGCCCTTATAATTTTTGAAATCGACTGGATTGGAAATGCATATATTTGAATTATGGTGTGAAACCCAATTCAGTTTGCCATGAATTAATTACTTGATTGACCTAGTTAAGAGTTTTGGACCGGTTATTTGGGTTAGAACAATATAATAGTGAATCAATGAACTATTAGAGTTTAAAACAAAATTATTTTCAATTTAAATAAAACAAAAAAAATAGTAGTTCATTTTTTTCTTGTGTATTAATACATTTTTATTTAAATGTTACTCTTTTTATAGTTATACATGAATATTATTTTTAAATATATTTTAATTAAACTAAATTATTATAAATGATTGGTCTGATCTCAACAAAATTATTTTAAATATATTTTTTTCATTGTTGAACCAGTATATCAACCAATTCACTAACTAGTCAAGTTTTCAGTACCTCGATTTGAATCAAGTAAAAACCTATTGGTATTAGCCTACTTTATGTTTAAGTGACTAAAATCCTTTTTAGTAAAACTAACAGCTATTAGTGTTGACCTACTTTATGATTATTTATGTTGTTAGGAGAATATCTAGTGTGGATACAGCATTAGATATATACATAAGCAGTCTTATACTCTTGATTTCCATTATAAAAAAGGAACCTTGAAAAGATAGTGTTTGGTAGTAATACAACTTATTTCAACCACATTAGAATGCATAAAAATTCTTTTTTTTTTTTTTCATTAGAGACTATAAGTAGTACTACTATGTTATAAAAAGAAAGAAAAAACTATAAGTAGTATCAAACCAACTTGGTATATGTTAGTGGATGAGCAAATTACAAATGTTTTCTTAGCATGTGAAAAATAGATTAGTTGAATTAGAGTTGGGTGTGCAACCTACTTGAGTAGCCATGCAGCATTTTCTCATACATTTTTTGATAAATCCATAGGATGAATTTTTATAAATCCTTCATTTATTGCATTGTCTCATACTTATGATTTTGATTGATAAGGATAGAACCTAAATTATTGGTTCTCACTTCTCACACATGGATTTGTTTGTCTTTTTGGCTCAGTTCCAAACTTATATAGAAATGATACTGGTTGTTAAGATACACACAATTTTAGTTAATGAAATTTTCATTATGCTTTAATTTATTATTATTATATATGGAGACAAGTTTATTATAAATTTTGGCAAAAAATTACACAATTTAAATTCTTTATTGTCATATATATGGCCAGGCGTAATTTTGTTTTTTCATTTATTATATCTATCTATATTCCTATCGTTTTTGTGAGGGAAAATCCCAAGAAAAGAAACATGAAAAATTTAGCTATTGTTCCCCCCTCTGCTCCTGTGTAATATAATGAAGCTCTAAATTTTGTAATTGGTATAATAGTTTAGTTGCAATTTACAGAAACTCTGGCCTTCAACGGTCTTTGCACCACCTTTTCTACTTTGGAATTCTATTAGCAGTAGGCTTATCATTTTCGGGATATTTAGGGTTTTTATGGTTGTTTGAGGTGGTTTGTGGATGGTTTTTGTGCATGACTTTACATGCGGTCACCTTAATCTTTGCTGATGTTGCCCTCCTTTATTGTTGCCTTAGTACATTTGAGTTTGTTTGGGTCCTCAACCTTGTTAGTTTGTTTTTCAATTTAGGGGGTGTTCAGAAACTATAAAAACATTTAAAAAATGCTTTCGCGCAAGTCAAAATACTCCTATCATATATTTATTTTGGAATTTGTAAAATCACTTCCGTATGTTGTTTGTTTTACATTTGAAGTGTTGTTGGTTTGTTTTTAGTTGTAATTTTTTTTTTTGACCGGAAGTTTTTAGTTGTAATTGGGCTCCTGTGGTTCTCTCCGATTATGTCCTGGAAGGACCCAAATGTTGTCACTAAAAAGGACCCCTATGTAGTCATATCATTTTACTTTAAATAAAAAATTTTAATATAAAAAGCTTTGTTGTAAATTCTTCATGTTAATTCATAAAATTGATATACGGCAGTTTAAAGTTGAAATGAAACACAAGTTTCACATATAAAATCATCACATATAAGACTCGGGCATTAAATATGAATATCTGTATCTTGGTTTATCATATTGTGAGAAACTAGTTTGGTGTATGTTTTTTTTGTGTACAACATGTTTTCTTTCCGTGTCAATGTGAAAGTCTCATTAGGTATACGAAGACAATGAGATGGGCTTCAATTGGATTTTTCCAATTGCCCAAGCTAGCCCAAACTGCACACAGAGCTCTTCTTGTTTTTTTTTGGTCAGACACACGGAGCTGTCTTGGCGGGAAATTTGATCATAGATGCGAGATAAAGAGGAACACCCGCGTCATTTGGGTATTGCGATTTCCAATAATCGGCTCCGTTCCGACGAAACAATGGATTCCGCTTCAGACTCAGATGGTTCTCATGTCTCTGCTACGCCCCCCAGGGAAGAGCCTTCACCATCCTTGCCGGTACTACCACCACCGCGGCGGCCAAAACCTGTTCTCGTTTCCAACAAATCGAAATCGTCTTCCTCGTCCAGCAAGAAATCTTCTAAATCCAAATTGGGCTCTTCAAAACCCACAAAACCGTCCAGTAAACAGGAATCCACTCAAGAAGAATTGCCCTGTAACTCCTTTTGCCTCCCTACTCTGCCCTTCCAAATTCGTCGACCTTCTGACTGCGTCACCCAATTGTCAACTGCGCAGTCATTTGAAACTCTCCCAGCTGGGTACTTCTCCAAATCCGCGTCTTTCTCCAAAATTCGAAGGCCCTTCCTCAGTTTTACAGATTCATCTGGAAATGGACCTTCCCTTGATTTTGCATCTCATCCAGGCCTCAAGAACGAGAGTAATGAGAGTTTTTGTCAGCAGGGTCATTCTATTCCAGTAGAGGTAGAGCGCGAACGTCTAAGGACAAGAAGTGTGACAAAATTAGGTAAGAGACATCCTAATCTGATAGGAGCTAATGTCCAGGCACCATCGGTGAAGGTGCGAAAATGTGGTGGTGAGGGAAATTTTGTGAGGTTGAACCTGAATAGCAAGAGGTGGAAGTTGCGGAACCATGGGAAAAAGAAAAATTTTGCATATAGCAAGCGTAGAAGTTACCCGAGAAAAAAAGTTAAATCGAAGCATGAAGATCAGGATCAGATGCAGTCGGTCTTCGAGTCTGAGGAGGATGCATTTGTTGTGCAGACCGCACAAAAGAAGTCCAGGGATTCTCGTGGAACCAAAGAACTTGATTGCAAAGTGATTGAAGAGGTTGTTTCAGCAGTTCGAGATGACCCATCTGATGAGAATCTGGTGAAGTTGCTTCAGTTAGTTTATGGCTATGATTCTTTTCGGGATGGTCAGCTGGAAGCAATCAAGATGGTACTTGCTGGAAAGTCGACTATGCTTATTTTGCCCACTGGTGCAGGAAAATCCCTGTGTTATCAGTTACCTGCAATGATTTTACCTGGAATTACCCTGGTCGTCAGTCCACTGGTAGCCTTGATGATTGATCAACGAAGAAAATTGCCTCCTGTGATTAATGGAGGACTTCTATGCAGCAGTCAGGTAACTTAATATCCTTTCTCATTCACCGAGAGAAAAGAAATTGTTTCTTTTCATGTATGTGATGCGACCTTTTATCTTTGATTGTGTTAGACACCTGAGGAAGCCGCTGAAACACTGAAGCATCTTCAAGAAGGTGCGTTAAAGGTAGGATTATCAACAATTAGATGTAGTCTTGGCTTTATATGTGCCTTCTCTCATTTGCTTAAGCTGAAATATGTTGCGGTCTTGCAGTTTGATTTACTTTATTGCATGTAACGGTATCAATTATATGCAGGTGTGTCATATAATCCTTTGCTTATCGCTGCGATCCTCATAATATGGCAATCACAAGTTTGGTCTATGCCACTGCCTAAAGCTTGCTTTTGCATTTTATATTTGTATTTAGGTACTTTTTGTTTCACCAGAGAGGTTACTGAATGAAGAATTTTTGTCAGTAATTTCTACAGCTTCAACTGTATCCCTTGTTGTGGTTGATGAAGCCCATTGTGTATCTGAATGGTGAGGAGGTTCTGGTGCCATTTGGTGATGTCAACATATTCATACACATCTCTTTACAATTTACACATTTTGCAGGTCACACAATTTTCGCCCTTCATTCATGAGGCTTAGGGCATCTTTTCTCCACAACAAACTAAATGCAGGTTCTTTTCTGGCAATGACAGCGACTGCTACAACCTTAACTTTAAATTCCGTCATGTCTGCTTTAGATATTCCTTGCTCAAATCTTATTCAGAAGACACAGTTAATGGACAATTTGCAGCTATCAGTCTCTTTAGCAAGAAATAGGCAAGTTAAATGCTACTATTTTTTGAACTTCGAATCTGGAATTGTCATGCGTGAGATATTAATAATTCAACATTGCTAAAAATGATAGAATGAAAGATTTATTGATGCTCGTCAAGTCTCCTCCATATGTGGAAGTTAAAAGCATCATCATATACTGCAAATTTCAGGTGTGTATACAGTCTTATTGGTTAAGAATGTAGAATAAGCTAAAATTTCTTGTAACGTGCATATCATAATATTGCAATATTCTCTGTTCCAGAAAATTGTAATATTAGATGTGTAAAATTTATGCAGTAAAAGTTGGCCAAATTTTGCGATGGACATCCTTGTTTTTCTATGGATATCCTAGGGTTTTGATATTTGGGGGGCATTAATTGTGTTTTTTCTCTTCCAGTCTGAAGCTGATATAATTAGCAAATACTTGAGTGACAACAGTATCTCTGCAAAGGTTAGCACCATATTTACCCTTTTGATATGATACCATAAGTTTCTCATTGTGTAATCTTTACTGCTATATGTTAAATCTGATGATAATTATGAACTACTGCTATCTAGAGTTATCATAGTGGTATCCCTGCAAAGGAGCGTAGCCATGTACAGGATTTGTTTGGTTCCAACAAGATTAGAGTGGTAAGATCATTTTTTTTCCCTATCAAATTTTGAGGTGTGCACATGCATTTTTGTAATTATTAAGACTATTTTGCATGTATCCTCTCTATTAGTGATTTAAATGACACTTTACTTTGCCAACTGATGTGCTTCATAATTTTTGGTGAAGGTTGTTGCAACAGTTGCATTTGGCATGGGATTAGACAAAAGGGACGTTGGAGCTGTAAGGCTCATTACAATTTGCTTTCTACATTCTTTGTACCTATTGATTTCTGACAATAAAATTCACTAGGATTCTGTATTCTTGTTATCATGTTTCACACCCTCGGTTTAGGTGTTTGTCATCGATAGTTGTGCACTTAAAACTGCCATTGTGCAAACATCACTTTTTGTGTATTTCACAAAGTGTTATTCACTTGCAATACAAGTGATGTTTATATAGTGGCTCTTGATTCTATAAATTGGTTACCCCCCTGTTTCAGGTAATTCATTACAGTCTGCCAGAAAGTCCTGAGCATTATGTTCAGGTAGATCTTTTATATTCTGACAGCCATAGGTTCTTTCGTAGGTTTTGTTAAATAAAATGAATGATAATTTGTAGGAGATTGGACGTGCTGGAAGGGATGGGAGGTTGTCCTTTTGCCACCTATTTTTTGATGATGAGACATATCTCAAACTCCTTAGTCTAATGTACAGGTAATATATGCCCTCTCAATGTCTCTTTTGGTTACATCGCTATCGAGTTAATTCACTGTTTTGTCCTCAGTGATGGAGTAGATGAATATGCAGTGAACAAGTTTCTCTGCGAAGTATTTCCTGCACAGAGGATTTCCGATGGCCAAATATATTCCTTGATCAAAGAATCTGCTTCACGGAGGTTTGACGTGAAGGAAGAGGTTTTCAACTCAGCATATCAGACCTTCAATTTTGTGTACTTCAAAAATATAGACACCCTTCCTATTACCTAGTCATGCTGATTCTCTGGTCATGAATGTAAAAAGATACTTTATATGAGAATTTAGTTTTACAGTCATCCCGATTAGCTTGAATTTTTTTTTACTCTATTGAATGGATAGAAAATAATTAACATGGTTCTTAGCTGATGTTTCCAAAATTTACTCTATTTTGTAAAATTGTGATTTTTGTAATTGTGAAGTTGCTGAACAGAATGAAAATGGTTTCTGCATTCCAATCATGTCACATTGGGTCTTACTAACGTTATCTTTTGCTAGGTGATGCTGACGCTCTTGACTCGCTTGGAGCTGGGTGATGTGCAGTACTTACGTTTACTTCCACAGATAAATACCACTTGCACTTTGAGTTTTCACGAGGTGCGTGCAGATAAGCCTTTTAATGCACACAAGTAGACATGATTAGCTCACTTAAACGTCCATAAGTTGGCACAACGGTTATGAATTGGTTGAATTTGAAGCCTAGAGAATACAATTAAATCTCATGCTTATTTACTCAACTGAACTTTAGAGAAATACATTAGTTTTGAATATGTTACATATGGAAATAGTTGAGTAACTATAGATGCATCAAAATTTTCACGCTGCAGACTCCCCCTCCATTACTTGCCCAAAAGCACTCTGTTGTTGCTGCAATACTGGAAAGGTAAAGGCTTGCTTTTTTTTTTTTTTTTTAACTTTTGATTTTAAATTAATTTTCCTGTTATTGGATGTCTATTCTGATAGGTTCTAATATTATGATCTTGTAAGTGGAATAGGATTGGATTCCATCATTCGCAAGTTTTCAGTAGACATAAATGCTGAGTGTTAAGTCTTTTGGGATATGGCTTTTCCTGGTTATGATTGGTAGAAGATCAGTTTAGTGCTTATTTATAATATCTTGTTTGACTGAATTTTTTTATTTGATTTTCAGGTCTGAGAATAAGCAAGGGCTATATGTCTTTGACATGCCCTCTGTAGCAAATGACATGGGAGTTACAGTTGCTGAAATATCCAATCAATTGCACAATCTAAAGGTTTGGTTGATGGGAATTCATGTTATCACAAATTTGCACGAGTGCATAATACCTTTTCAAAATCCAGTAGTCCTTTGCTTCAAGTGGCTAAATATTTAAGATTCCAGTTTTACAGTGCCAAAAATGTAGACGGTCAAGATGTCAAATTAAACTGATAATTTATAGTTTTATATACTCGGCTGTTATCCATTCGTAAATTATGAATTCTAATGCAGTAATTCTTAAGAGTAATACTTCTAAATAGCCCTGCATTTGCCCTCCAATTACTGTACAATGCTGTTAGAACCATTGATGAATACACAATAGATAGAAGTGTAACTGATGGCATTGGACAATATACAAAGCGGTAAATTTGTGGATGATTTTCTTAAGGGTAATTTAGATTTTCTTAATTGTAATTCTTGCTTTGGTCATTGTTAAATTGCCTCGAGAATTTTCATATTTTCTGTCCTTGATGTCTTTTGAATCATTATCATCAATCTCATATGAGCACCACACTAAAAGTACATGCTTATTACAATCAGACAATCATTAATGATTATTTGTTATTCATTTTATATTATGTTATATGTAGTATAAAACTTCATTGTGACATTGTCTCTCAGTTGCTTGGAGAAATAACCTTTGAGATGAAGGACTTGGCCTATTGCTATGTGATTGTGAAAGTACCAACAGATTTTTTTGCGTTGTCAGCAAATCTTACACAATGGTTACACGAGTTTGAAAGATCAAAGGTGATTAATTTTAATATTATCTTTTGCTCAAAAAGAAAATTTAAGATTATCAAATTAAGCTTTGAATGAGGAAAATATTTATTCAGCTATGTCTAGTGATGTCTTCTTTGAGACGTAATATCCTATGCATGTTTGATTGGGATTTGTGATGTTTTTGTGATACTGTTATAGATCTAACTCCTATAGAAAACAATGAAACGCTCTAAGGACTGATATTGTGTTTACTGGGGATTCTCCCTCTTAGAACAGTACAGGCATCTGTAAAATAAACACAATGACATAGCGAACACAGCCAAGTTTCAGACACCAGTACACAGTAAAAGAATAAGACAACTGTTAGTATTCAAGTGGCTAGCTCTCTACCCCTACCCGATTCTCTTTCCAGAAAGTTCTCCTGTCTTTTTTCAGTTCCCTCGTAAAAGGCCTTTTACAACTTCTCCTCAACTGTTTCTTGCACTTTCAACTCATGAATTCTCCCTCTTACCCCTCTGCCTCTCTGTCTTTGCGTATATAACGTCGTGCCTTTAATAGACCATCAGTCTCACTTGTCTCCCTCTTTGACTTCCTTTGGTTTCCTGGAATCTGTTTTGGTTGCATGGGTAGAGTCTCCTCATAATTTCTAACATTTACCTCATTGATATGAACCACTGATAAGACTTTACTCTAGTTTTAGCATCGATTAGTATTGTGAGGGAACATACATCACTTTTATAACATCCAGATTCGCTTATAACTGATTAGGCTGTTTTAATGTATCTGCATCTTGAAAAGGTACGGAAACTGGATGCAATGTATGATGCGGCATATCACGCTGTAAATATTTGTGACAAGACGCTAGGCTGCAGTGGTTCCGATCACACATCATGCTTGCAAAGGAAGATATTAGATTACTTTGCTGGGGTCGATAATAATTCCTTCTCCAAGAAGTTCGATCAAAGCAGGTTCTGCACCTTTTGGTTTCTCTAAATCTTCAGTTATACCCAAACTGGTTTATAATCATGTTACATTGTGATGAGCACTAGAAAATTCTGCTTTATGCTAATCATCATACTCATATTTCCTATTTAAATTTGCAGTCCTTTTTTGCGGGCAGATATAAAGGTGTGTTTTCATATTTTCATAAATTTCATTCTTAGAATCTTTGCCTGATGCATATCATTTATATGGAATACTATAGTTACTTTCTCCCTTCGGATGACCAGGTCTTTCTGCAGAGCAATTCACAGGCCAAATTCACACCAAGAGCCATTGCAAGGATAATGCACGGCATTGCAAGCCCAGCCTATCCTTCGGCTGCTTGGTCTAAAACTCATTTCTGGTAAATTAATGAATGAATGAATGGCTGATACTCTTATATTCAGCGGATTGGTATCTATTTTGTTGGCAGAAAAATTTTCAGAATGAAAACAAGTTTCAAAAGCCCATGTTTAAGTCGTGATCAAATCGTACAATTTGAATGTGGTTTCTGCACACCAAGGCTTATTTTTGCTAAACTAAATTGATGTTTATGTTCTTAACCGCAATTGAGTGCTTAGAAATCCTGTCTCAAAAATTAAGAGTGGAGGGAAGCTGATAATTTATTAGTGCATGCATTATGTCTAAATTCACTATCTATTTTCATCAATCACCCTCGTTTCCCAAAAAAACCATCTTCTGTGGGATCAATCCCAGTGAAATACTGAAGCTGAATTATCAATTTTTTTTTTTTAAAAAATCAGGGGAAGGTATAGGCATGCAGACTTTCAGGCGGTGATGGAAGCAGCAAAGGAAGAACTTAAGAATTTTGTTGGAAAAGACAGCTCTAGCCATTCAAGATAAGGCTTACCATCTGATTGGCAAATTGAATTCGGATTCCATGCTATTAATTTTCATGCATGACTTGAACCAATGAAATGAGAAAAGCCAAACGTTTATGATCTATCTAAGCGATAGATTTGAGTTCTGGCATGAATTAGGTGGCTAAGCCATATAGGCTGAAACAAAAACAGCTTTGTTGTTGGCTAGGGACATGTTTGTGTCCATTTTGGGAGGTCCAAAGCCGATGTTTACCCAAATCCCACAGCAAACGCTAAATTGTTAGCCTCATGCTTTGCATGTAAAATGATGTAAACCATATTGTATATGATTTATGAATAGAAAAGCAGTTTTGGATAAATGTTAAATCATATATAATTATATATAGAAATATAGATTTGTATGTTCTAGTTGTCCCTGTGGAATGGTGATCATATAGTGGTTCAAATACGGAATGGATCATATATCTTGTCTGGATTACGTTTTAGCTGCTATCTCCTTGTCCTTAACTCTTTAACCCCTTGCTTGGATTGAGAGAAAATTGCGGAGGAAAGAAAACTAGAGAGGAAAACATGGAGAGAAACAAGTTTTTCCTCGCTTAGATAGGGAAGAAAATGTGGGCGGAAGGAAAAGTGGAGAAGAAAATAAGGTAGGTCTTATGTTTTATTTTCTCTCCAAATTTTTTATAGAGAGATTTGGAAAGAAAAACAAGATTTTCATGATTACTCCTCCTCTCTCTTCCTCTCCATATTTATTTTCTTTTGTTATATTTAAAAAGCTATTCACTTTTTATTTTTTATCTTAAAACAACGTTTTTATTAAATAATTTGGTTTTAAAACATAATAGTATGAAAAAATATATAAATCAAATAACTTGATTTTAAATTATTTGATCATGCTAATATTGGTATAATTTTTCTATTGCAATATTTAATTTAATTTAATTTTAAATATGATATATTTTGATAAGAACATTTTAGTCATTTAGATATTTACTAATTTTTTCTTATCTCTATTTTCTCTCATCCATCTAAGCAAGAAAAATGATTAACAACTTCCTTCCAATTTTTCTTTCTTTCCATTTTCTTTCCTCTCATTTTCTTTTTTCTCAACTTTTTTTTCCGTCCAAGCAGAGGACAGGTATAGTATGAAGTTCTTGCTCGTCCCTTTTTTGTTTTTTGGCTTTTCCTTATCCCAAACCGTAAGTTATTTATTATTTATATCTCGTGGTGGTTGGCATTATCCTGAAAGGTTTGCATCGCCCCAAACTGTACGTAATTACTTTACTTGCATTAATCTAAGTACTCTTTTTAGTTATTAAAAAGTTTTATTTTAGTTCTTTAATTTTGTATGGTATCTTCTCAATTTTTTAACTTTGACGCAGTTGGTGAAAGATATTGAAATTAAAATTTTAAATGATGAAATATTATCAAACACTGATGCAGTAAGCTTAATTTTCTATACTAATAATAACTAGTACAAAATATTATTATTTGAGACTAAGAAAGCAGGATTAATTGACCGAAAAAAATACTTTGTACTACATTATAAGAATAAAGATAGGTTTTTCATGTAACAAAAGAAAAGATATATCAGACAGGGCTTAGAAATATTTTAGATTCGAATCTGAGGAGACGATGATGATACTAGTAGTACTAGTAGCGTATTTATTTGTAAATATAATTTGTCTTTATTTTAATTTTGATCTCTATAATTTTAAATTTTAATTTTTGGTTTCTCAAAAGGCGAATTCTTATTAAAATATATAGATTAACATTTTAAAGAGAAAGAAATTTGAAGAATCAAGACCTATAAGTTGAAATTATAATGATTAAAACCAAAATAAAATCATAATAAAGCAAATATTATATTTCATTAATTAATTACAAATTACAAATGTTAGACCTGTGTTGCCTTAATTTAATCACAATTTATAAAAAAGATAATTAAATCCCCCCCCCCAAAAAAAGATGAAGAAATTTGTTGCGTGCGGCTGCTGAATAATTTTCTAATTTCTAATTTATTTTTATTTTAATTGAGAAATCTTCCAATAAATAATTATAATCAAGCCATCGAGTGTCCGTAAATGCGCTAACCAAATCTGAATCTAATCCAAAACTACCAAACTAATCTCTGTTTGAAAAAAAAAATTCTTAAAAAAAAAACAAATGCTTAAAAAATGAAATTAGAATATTCCAAAATGGAAAAAAAAAATAGAAATTGTAACGCGGAAAGGGTATATTCTAGACATCAATGCTCAAGAGAGGCATATTCAGTTGTGGAAGCTAAGACCGTTGGTCACTATATAAATCAAACAGCGAAAAGCGCCTCTCTCTCTAGAGTCAAGAGCGAGAGGATCTTAGAATCTGCGGGATGAAGAAGGTTTGAGCTTTATAGCTTCGTCATTGATCGTTCTCGGTATCCTTATTCTTTCCTCTGGGTCGCCGTAATCAGCGATTCGCATTGTTCTGGAAGATCCGAGAGTCATGGATGAGGTTGCCGCCACATCGGCATCGGTGATGCGCACTTCAACGTCTTTACCGTCGTCTTCTTCAGCGTATTCATCAGTATTTACTAATTACCCCCTCATTTCTGCTTTCGTTGCTTTCGCCATTGCCCAATCCACCAAATTCTTCACATCATGGTTGGTATTCATGTTTCTTTGCCGTATAATACATAGAACCTTAATCGCAAACCTTGTAATTTGATCAGAATTAGGTTCCTGGCGGACAAGAGAAAAGAAATAAAGAAGGAAATTCGGAGATAATGCGTGGCCTTTTTTTACTTTCTTGAAATAATCGTGCCTTGTAATTCTTCGATGAAATAAAACATTTGATGTTTTGAGTTCCATTGTTTGCTTGATCTGCATGCAACAGTTCTCGGGTTAAGGTGCTTCCAGATTTCAAGATTTGTAATGTATTTCTTTCACCTGCCAAATTCTTAAATTAAGAGGCATCTTCAGCTCTTGGTTTCTTTTGGTTGTAATGAAATTTAACCGAACTCATTCATGGGAGTATAGAATGTCAATCAGAGTTTATTTATCTCTGCTGTTTACTAAGAAATTTTCTGTAGTTATCCGTTAAGTTCCTTCAGTTGGTTATATAAAATACTTATTTAACTGATCATCTTCATTTCACTTTTCATTCTGCCTATTGATAAATATCCATAAACCTTTCCCAAAAATTATGCGTCCAACAGCAACGGAGTTTACATCAATTATATGTGTATGAATCTTTGTCGATGAACTGAGTGCCGTTTCTTTTTCTTGTTGATATATCAATTTCAAGTTGCAATTTGATAATTCCAGCAGTGTCATCCCAATGTTTGAGCTTCTTCATGGACAGAATTAACAGCTTCTGTGACCTTTATGTATGCCTTTTAATTCTTCCCTGAGTTTTAAGACTTCATAGATACGCAGGTACAAGGAAAGAAGATGGGATTTTAAGCAACTTCTTGGTTCTGGTGGAATGCCATCATCTCATTCAGCAACTGTAACCGCTCTTGCTGCAGCTATTGGGTTTCAAGAGGGGTTTGGAGGACCTCTGTTCGCTACTGCATTGATCCTAGCTTGTATTGTATGATCTCTCTCTTCATTTCTTTAAAATCAATCAATAATGAAATAAAAAAAAAATTATTAATTTAAGGAGTGTCATAATGGAGATTCCCTTTCTGCACATGCTTGAGCAGACACGTACGTACGGTGTAACTACTAGTGATTGTAATGTCACAGAAAAAACTAATAGGTTAGATGACCAGAAGTTAATGCTAACGAGGATAGTTCATGCTTTAATTGTATCTAATACAGAAACTGCTGGCAGGTAATGTATGATGCTACTGGTGTGAGATTGCAAGCTGGTCGCCAAGCGGAGGTTTGCTGCCTGTGCTACTTGTTTCCTTAACTCTGTCATATAGTCCTTTCTTTTACTTCTGAGGAACTTTATCATCCATTCATCTCTCTCATCGCATGTATTAGAATGAAATACCGCGGAAGCTTTTTCTGTTTGCCTATTATTGTAGTGAGGGCATGTTTGCCTTTGTTTTGGTTTTCTATAGTTTGTTTATACTGAGTTTGGATGATTGGTTTTATCCCCAGGTTTTGAATCAAATTGTATATGAACTTCCTGCTGAACATCCTCTAGCTGAAATCAGACCACTTCGTGAACTTCTTGGGCATACCCCTCCTCAGGTCAGCTGGATCTAAGCTTAACAAAGGGAATTGCGTTACAACGCTTGTTTATAATTATTAATTACTGACTTACATATTGTACCCTCAACAAATGATTGCTATGTCAAACTCAAAATGGCTAGTTCAGGATTGTGGTGTGCTTTGATGTTTAATAACTATATGCGGACAACAAACCTGTCATTAACAATGATATTAATATGTGGAGAATTGAATTATAAGATTTTGCTTTTAGGCGAGAATCAATGGAATACGTTTTCTTAAAATCAAACTTACATTCCTTACTGCGAACATAGGTTTTGTTAGATAGAAGCAAATCCAATTAACACCTAACTAGTTCCCTGAACATAAGGAAATAGATAATCCTAAATATCTTGTAAAATACTACATTAATGCCTGCAATCACTGACAACTCCCCACGGAAGCTGACACCCAGTTTCACATATCCTTCAGCATGGCCCACGTTCTACTTGTATGCACTTGAGTTTTAGAATCCAAGTATTTTGACTCCTTCTGTTGACGCATGTGAAGTTTCTAATGCTATCAGTTCTGTTAGGATACATACGTGGCTTATCATGTATAATGTAGCTGACCTTGAAAGGTTATTGTCCGAGGTTTTCATTGATTCATATACATAAACTGAATGCAATCAGAATGATAGCTTGCTATGTTAATATATAATGCTATGTGGATGATGATGAATCTGTCATTACGTAGGCAATAATATATGCCTTTAGTGATAAATTTAAAATCGAAGAAAATGGAGATGTGAAGGGGAAAAGAAAGGGGGGTTTGATATAAACACTCTTTAATGTAACGTAAATCGAACTAATTTTTCCCCTTCTCTACTGCATTTTCTTCATTCCAAATGCATTATGAAATGAGTTTTGTGTCTAATACCTGATTGAATGATTATAATTGTAATCGTGAATTCTTTCATCATGGCACCTTGTTTTTTAAAATTTGAATATTCCTGTTTATCCTACAGTGGTTGCTGGTATGTTACTTGGAATCCTTACAGCAGCTATTGGCCATCTACTGACCATGATCAAATAATGGCGATGCTTCTTACGGTTGAATTATGGTTAATTTCTGTTCATACCATAGCACAGAAATTTAAACTACCATTATGCGGTCTTACACTTAACCCCAGAAATATAGCACTCTTGCTGTTAGTGCTCGTTCTAAAGGTGCCTTCAGTGTTCTTCGTGCACTTGACCTTGCTCATCTCAGAAGTAGAATTAAAAAAGTGTATCTGATCTGATTGGATTAGTTTATGTAACGGAACTAACTGTCCAAACATATTATTCTTTCCACCGAGATGAGATGGCTTTTAAGTAAACTGGTTGGGTTAGTCTTAGCTCTCTGCAGAACTCAACAGGCGAAGACAGGTAAATAGCCAAATACTGCTCTCTGATGTCAGTTGTGCTAATCAGGCGAAGACAAGAAAAAATATGCGACTATTTTATCAATATATATTTGTGTATATATTTGTATGTATGCATTTTTATTCATTGCAAGTGTTCTTAAATTACTTAAGGAAATAATAATAATGTTGTGAATGATTAAGAAGACTTCCAAATTTCGTTGGCCAAAATAAAAAGAGAAATTCCGAAGCTTATTTGGATTAGTGGTTGCAAAACTTTTAATTGCATTTTGCAAACTAAAGTTAGGATTGATAACATGCTTAGGTGCATAATTAAAAAGGAGAATTCCAATTAAATTTAATTAAATATTAAAATTCAAATTCAAACTTAGAGCAAAAATGTTGCAATGGAAAAGGAAAATGTTGACTTTTAAAAGGAAAATGCTGATTTTTCATCGATACCGTGTGTTTAGTTGCAATATTTTCCTGCAATTCATTTTCTGGTAGCGGCAGATATTCCATTGTACGACCGATTTTGGGGGGAACCGATTTTCCATCACAAGGGGGAAAATCCAAAAGACCAAATTGTCCTTTAAATTTGAATAAAATGCTCAGTATTTGATCGATGAAATAATGTGAAGTTGCTTAAACACCCGACACATCATTGAATCTTCATCTTTGCCATATATTTATCTATTTTGTTATTGTTGAGTCGTTCAACTAACACATACAGATTGGCCAACAAGTATCAACCTTCATTCAATAAGATTTTTAACAACGTCTATCTTAATAAAAAAGTGCTTCTATATAAATCATATATCGTTTTTCAAATCTGATTAAAAATCTGGTGAGAAAAAATATTTCTGATCCTTGCTTACCTTTTGGATCATAACTTTAAAATTACAAAGTATTTTTGAATAGGTCTTGTTGTATTGAAAACTAGATAGTTTTTCAATGATAGGTCGTTTCCCTAATTTGAACTTAAACTGAGAAAGTTATATATAATCAAAAATTGTTCTGCTTAAAGCATAAAAAACAAAGCATAACAGAAACATAATGAATTCAAATTTTGCGTGAAAAATTAGAATTTGTTGATATAAATTCAAATTTATATTAATAAAGTCATAGTTAAACTTTAAGTTGGGAGAAAGAAATGAACATATTTGAATTTGATTAAAAAAAGTTGAATATGCTCCATTAAATTCAAATTTTCTTAGAGTAGATTTGAATTTGTGACTTTTGCTCACCATCTTGAAAATAAATTTTAAAATAAAAAGAGTTTTTAAATGAGTCTTGTTGCATTAAAAATTAAACTTAAAAATTTTTCCAATGATAAATCATTTGACCTATTTAAATTTAAATTAACAAATGCATGCCATCTAAAAATATTTGGTTAAATTTCCTTCTTTTTTTGTGAATTTATTTTTATTTAATTATTTTTAATCATTTAATATTTATAGTCATTTTTATATTTATATTGAATATTTATATTTATTTAAATTATAATATATTTTTATTCATTTTTTTAAAAAGCATTTTTAAGGGTAACATGATAAAATTACACAAATTTTCAACCCATTTTCATCCAACCAAACATAAAGTTTTCCATCAACTACTTTTCATTTCAGTGCTGCCAAACATGTCATCACTCAAAATTTTTTTATTCCGTTACTTTCCATTTTTTTTTCCTATTCTAATCAGTTCTTTCTGCCAAAAAGGCCCTTAGAAAATTTTTAATCTAACCAAAAAGCCTAATCTGAGATTCTTGAATGTAATAAAACACTATAATCTTCATTCATTGTTGTAAAAGAAAATTGAAGTCAGCAAGCCTACTTTTGGTTTTAATTAGCGGATTTAATTCGGGCTTTACCCTTCAGCTCAAAAAAAAAAAAAAGTCAGGCTTTTCCTAACCAAAAAAGAAAAACCATAATCGGTTAGCTCCAGTCCGATTTGTATAGCTATTATTACACAAACTATGTGATTTGTATTTAATCCTTGAATCTAAACATACTTCCTTGATTCTATTTATAAAATAGGTTCAACATATTTTATATAAACTAAGAAAAATATTAAACTACATCAACTCTCTATTAAAATGTAACAGTTTTTTAACTTTACTTTTATTTAATTTATACATCTTTTAAAAAAAGTATAAATATTTACACTATAATAAATGAAAAATAAAATAGGACATTTATGGTTAAAATTTAATAAAATGACTTATAAATAAGACAAAAAAAAAATCTTTTATTTCTGTTTTATGAATCGGACTAAAGGAGTATGTGATAAGATTGCATATATATTTTTTTTCAAACCCTAAAAATCTTTTCCTTAGCACACATCAAAATTGGATGATAATAATTAAACACCTTATTACCATTTGCAAGCCGGTATCGAGTAAATAACATTTTGCTAATAAATAATATAATTATGGGAGAATTACAATCAAATCTTAAAGAAGAAACATAATTATCAAAAAGTCCCAATAACAACTTAAGGAGCCTGTAATAACAAATCTCAGAATAGAAAATGATAACTTATAACCCTCATTAAGAATTGTTGACAGTTATTTTTCTTTATTAGGACTTTATTGTAATTTTCCCTATAATTATTGTGATGACTAGTGTGAAATTAATGTAAATACTAAATACGACAGGAATTGATAGGAAATGAAATGAAGTCCAAGGAAAGATTACTTCAACTTGAAGTGGATGAGGGCAATTAATGAAGGGAGCTGAGATGCAGTGTCAAACGCACATATATCATGTGAACTACATTTTTATCTCATCAACAGGAAACTAAAACACATCCCAATCACATATAATCATGATATTATATGTTGCATATATTTAGATTGTTCAAAAAGACTAACCACGCGTGATTCATCAATTACTCCTATTGCATGCGTATTCATCTTGATCACTCAATTCTACTTTCTCCCAACCCTCCATCCACTCAGACATGCATTCATCTTTCTTATCCTGTATTTGCCAAGACTTGGGAAGTTTCCGATATCCCGGTGGGACCGTAAGCTAGATACCTCAGCCAAGCCACCAATACCTCCCTATGTCCTCTTGGCGCAACAAAAATTTCTCGAGAAGGCTTGTACAACGGGAGATGACGGCATCGCAGAAACAAATCAGGGTCACAAACAATTTCCTCCATGCATTCAAGTTCAGCCATAGCCTTACTAACTGATACATCACGTTTCAGGATTTTGTTTGCTGCATATGTTCTAAGCTCAAATTATGTTTCTTATAAATTACCGGATTTTTGTTGTAAATTACCGATACTTGCATGTGTTTTGTTATGTGTGTGTGTTTGCATAATATGATTAGGTGAATTGGTTGTGTTAGTTGCCACATTCTTTTTATGTGCCAAAAGGTCATGAGTTCAAACCGCACTTTGACCACCTTATTTTTAAAAAAAAAAAAAATCTCTAGCCACCAGAGCTTTGATGACTCGCCATTAGAAGTCAGAGGTCCAGCCATTGGTGCTTAGGTGGCCGAGGCTAAAGGCCGAAGCCCCTTGGCCGGACATCCGGTGACAATTAATATTTGTTTTATAAAAAAAATAAAAAAAAAAGTGATATATCATATTTTTGCCCTTAACTTTTAATTTTATTTTAATGCAAGAGAATTGACTGAAATTTTAAAATATTTTGGGCATTGACTTGATATTAATTAACTAGGATTTATTGAAATTCTGCAAAAAAAATTAAAATAAAATTGAATTTTTACATTTACTTCGATAAACCTCAAATCCCCATGTGACACGAAATAACAGCAGATTCGCCGAGTAGAGAAAATCACGACAACCAAAGAAGCAGACATGGCGACTGGCGGTTGCGATAGCGAGTTGAAGCCAACCCCTCACCAATAGGCCTGCATGAGCAGATCGACCACAGAGCAGAGGGGGAAGGGAGATATCAAGAATGGAAAGCTAAACCTGCGAGAGAGGATAATGGGGCAAATTTGAGTAGGTTAAAATTTTTTAAAACTTTTTAATTATAATTTACAAATATTTAATAAGTCTTAATTTATGTAAATATGTTAAATTCTTTATACAAGCGGTAGCTCGTCAAATAATTTTTGAAGTTAGAGGGCCTGTTTGGGTGACTCTCAAAACCATGGTTTGGGAGGTAAAACCATGGTTTTGGTGAGATGTCACCCAAACAGCATCATTTTTGAGCCAATAATCTGAAACCATGGTTTGGGCCAAAATCATGGTTTCAAGAGAAGTGAATTCATTCTGCTTTTAGCTTAAATTGGAGATATATTGTGCCTGTCAGAATAGATCTCAACAATAATATGACTTTAAGATTTCTCAATTATTTTTTTATAAACATATTTAACATTATATCTTATAAACATATATACACATATTAATTATTTATTAATTATATTATCTTATGTATTATTAATTATGTTGGTAAAAAATATATTATTAACAATTTTATTCTTTCAAATTAAAATATATCATAAAATTTATCTTTTATATAATTATTATATTAACTTATGTTTTTTTAGTAATTTGTATATATAAAAAGTACTTTTGATAACAATTATCCAAACACTCTCACTTCTCAGAATCACTTTTTTACAAAATCTATTCTTCCCAAAATCTATTTTAAAAAAGCTATTCTCCAAACCGTGATTTGGTTTCATCCAAACACACCCAGAGTCTTTCTTCGAGCTAATACTATCTTGTTAAGATTAACATTGTTAAAAATTACTTGTATCCCGATTAATTTCTGAAATTAAAGTAAAAATTGATTGATACAATTTGATTTATACTTGGATAAACTTTTATGTAAACTTGTTAAGCATGGACTTATTTTTTTGGATGAAATCTTTTTGACCGAAGTATCCGACTTGATCAATCACGAAAGTAAACCAACACAGCAGCCTTATGTTTGTTCAGTCAGAAAAGAACAGAAAAATACAACTAAAAAAAATGTGTATCATGACAAAAAT